TTATAAGCAATTGCACATAAAGCTCAACAACATTTTCAATTATCAAAGCATGTAAACACATCATGCATATAAACCATTCCCCCGTGGGGTATGGTGGAACCACACAGTGGCTAAACCGAGGACACGAAAGCTTACCTTGCAAGCTAACAATCCAAGCCAAGAGTCCAACCAAGCTCAAAGTCCAAACACAGCAAAATCTCAATCTGTTTTGGACCAGAATAACATTAATATTCAAACTCTACAAGCAAACGACATAAAGACAATGCCTTTCCTTACGTTTCATGTCTTTAGGCTTCTCACAAAGCCACAAGCCCTTAATCACTTGATTCTGGCTTAGTTTAATTATTACAGAAGTTCAACTTCATCAATCTAGGGTCCACAAACCCCAAACACGGTTCTGTATGAACAATATCGTTACTGTTCACGCGAACTCAGAATATCCGGATATATGTCGGGGACATATCCAGATATCTCATATCCGAATATCATATCCGGATATCACAAGACCCCATATTCGGATACCAATATCCGGATATCATACCCGGATACCAATATCTGGATATCATATCCGGATATTTCACGACAGAATGCAGATTCTGCATTTCGCGAAGATATCCATTAAAGGTTGTGTTTTTTAACACTTCTAAACGTCCAAGAACCCATTTTTAAGCATCTAAAGGTTCATATACGTGTTAGTTACTTTTTTAACTCATTAAAAATGGCAAGACTCCACTTTTACCCATTAAAACTCATGATCAAAGTTGATGAACTTACCCAAGGCTCTCAAAACAGAACAAGGAAGGCTCTTGGAGCTCACTATGTAGCTCCCAAAGGGCTGACTACCAAGTGCACAAAAATGATAACATAGAAGGGTCTTTTCTTCACAAAGATGGCTCCTTGAAGCCACACAAGCTAAGAACAAAGGCTTCCCAATACTCAAACCAACAAGTCAGCCTTCAAGCACACCAAGACAGAAGCTAGAACTCAGAAATGATGGCTCTTTTCCACACACATAGCAAGCTCACACAAGGCCAAGGTATTTTGTGAAGAAACTATGAGCGAAGGTGCTCACTTTGGCTCACCAAGTGGAGAAGAAGGGGTGGCAAGGTGGCTGGAGATGTTTTAGAAAATTAGAGGCACGTAGGGTTGCAATTCTGACCTAGGATCATGTGCCCCTTAGTATATATAGCTAGTTTAAACTTAAACACACAATATTAGCACTAATAGCTACGCTTAGCATTTTAATCCCAAACTTAGGATTCAGAACCTACTCATTTTTCTAAGATTTTTTATATTTTTATTTTATTTTTCGCAGCACCTTTCGGTACGCGCTTTTCCATAGCCAATATGACTTCTGGCACCAGTTCTCATTATTTTAACTTGAAACTTGTTTTACAAGTCCTATATATTATTCTAGTGACATATACACACTTTTCATAATTTTCCGGGATGCTTCACCGGTACGCATTTATATCGAGTAGCAGAACCAGTATCTGCACTTTTCGTTAGAAAAGCGACTTTCAGCATTATCAATCATTTATCAATATTATTTAAGCCTTATCATAAATATTAGGGTCAATTATGGAATTATTTCCTAATTTCTCATAATTAATTAATTAACTTTCTTAATTAACGGTGCAGGTTCTTACATGCCGTATTAGATTTCTTAGTTTTTTTATAATAGGTCAAGCTAGACCTATAAATCAAGCCTTTAATAGGCTAATATGAAAGTATAGACTCTAAATATTTTAGATAGGCTTAGGCTATCAAAGTCAAAGCCTGACCTAACTTAGCCCATTTACACTCCTAACTATGACCTGTGAAGAACATCAACGTAGAGGGACAGAGCAAACTTCACAATTAAAAAAAACATGGAACAATTAGCGAAAAATGTCTAAAATAATTTAAATGATATTGGATCCACATAAATCATTTAATTAGTGTTTAGATATTTTAGAAATTTTAAAAATACCAAAAAAACAAAGAAGCTGTTAATGGGTATGTACAAGAAATTTTCATACTCCATATATATATATATATATATATATATATATATATATATATATATATATATATAATCTTCATTGATTTTTCTCTTTAGCAGTCTACACTGATTAATAGCCAAAATTCTCATTCCTGTTATGAAATCAAATACAAATAACATCAAGAAACAATTCAATTCCATTACTAATAGCAACTGTAACTCTACATTTTTTTAATTCCAACACCAAGAAACAATTCAATTCCATATAATTTTTTTTTAAAAAAGGTAAACGTAAAAAAAGTTGTGAATAAAAAAAAGGGGGCATGAATTTCGCTCATGTTTGGAACATCCAATAAACAATTATGGTTAGCAAAGACAAAAAATTTCTCTTTTACAAGGTTCAAAATGTATATCAATTTTTTACCCTAGCTGACAATATAATCACAATGCATACTCCAAGAACATGTGTTCGTAAAATCTTGAGAAAGGAGCGAAACATCTTACCTTATCGCAAAATGACTGGGTTTCGGGTGGTGAGTGTGAATAAAAAAAAAAGGTTAGAAGAAAACCCTAATGAAAAAAGATGAAAGAAAAAGAAGATTAAGAAGAAAACAATCTGTTATCTAGTCACACATGCAAAGCAGCTTCAAATCTTTGTATGTTACCACTGATACGATTTTAGCTAGAGTCAATTTATAATTTTAATTAAGGTCCAATTATAATTACTTATATAATTATATATAAATATATAATAAAATTTATTGAAATATAGCTAGGGCGGGTCCTACTTAAGTACAACGTGGCTACGGCGCCACTGCATGGTCTTAATATTCTTTGTAATTTGTGATTTTTATTTTGATTGTGTTTTCTCCATTATCTGAGAAGATTCCCCCGATATTTACATTTTACTAACATTTGCTCGAAGTAGACTTTTCATTTTTATCATTTTTTGGGTCAGTGAAGTTGAGCAAACGAAGCTTGATTAAAATCTTGTCGACTCATACAAGAAGGAGGAAACCATGACAACCTACAAAATGGGTGAAGTGAAGCAGCAACAAGAAAATCAAATCATGAATGGTGCAACAATAACTCACATTTTAAGGTCATGGTTAATTAAATGTGTTAAAAAAACTGAGCTGTAAATTTTAATTTAGTTGATAAATTCTAATGGGAAGGATTAAGGATAAAATAAAAACAAGGAAATGAGATTTGAACCCTATCATAAAATGGCTTGGCTATTAAACCCCTCGGTGTCAAGCTCGTCAACATTGCTCAAGTCACAAAATCTGGTTTCATATTGAAAAAATTAAAAAAAAGGTATCATAGCTTGTAAGGGCCAAAAGTTTAATTATTATCATTTGACCAAGATTGCCTTTACGTAAAGCACCTTTGCTAGAAAAAGAAAAACAATAATAGTGAAAATGAAAGGACTAAAAAGGAGATGATCAAATCCAAATTAAGGAGAACAAGAAGTAAGATACCATGAATGCATTAATATGTCCATCTAAAAACCTCAAAATAGTGTGAATGCCACAAAGAGTAGATGCTGACGTTGGCTCCCCATCAGCACGACAAAGCCATAGACCGTCTACGCCACGTGCCTCGTACTGTGTTGTCTATGGTCAAAAGCCGGTGCCAGTCACTGACACGTGTGACCTTTCTATTATTCCCAAAACAAAGTTCGTATTCTGTATTATTAAGTCGAAAAGTTTGAATCATGGACTACCAAGTCACTAATCACCGCCATTTCACGCGCCTCTATTATCACGTGGATTATACGCGCGAAATCGAAAGAAAACCTTTTTTTTCTTTTCTTTTTACACGTGATATATATAAATTGTAATCTGTGAATATTGTAGCCTAATCAAACCTAATTTAACTTTAATGTTTACACGTTAAATGTTAATGTAAACTTTTTTATGATATTAATTCATCAAATATTCTAATATTATTAGATTAGTTGGTATAAGATTATTTCAGCTTAATTGATTGAAAGAGTTCGCTTGTGATCCTATTAGTTCAACCGAATTAATAGATTAATAGATAAAATTTTCCTAGTAAATCTGCTGAAATTTTACATTATCGGAGAGCATTTATAATATCCACGCCTATATGTTTCTAGAAGAGAAGAGATGAACGTGAAATAAATAAATAAAAATAAAGCGGAGTCAACCATGCTTTATTTGACTATTCTTAATTCCCAATCAACCCAAAGAATGGAAGAAACAGAGACCAGAGACTAGAGATTTTAAATGGGCGAGGGCACCTTGGATTCTACAGCACTTTTTTCACATAAAATTAATGGCTTCATGTTCTTTTGAACATGGATTTCCTCAAACAAAGAGAGAACATAGAGAAGCTCTTGTTTTTTCGTTAAAAAATAGAAAATATTTTTAGAAGACTCCGAAATGGACTGAGCAGTCAATAAAATTTAAAAAAAGAATCACATTTTTATTGCCAACTTTAGTTTGAAGTTTCAAAAGGTTAAAGATTCTACCAGATATTATTTTAGATTAAATCAGAGTAAATTTTATATATATAATACCAATACATATATACACTAGGGGTATACCAAAATGCTATATTTTGTCTTGATTAGAATTCTTATATTATACTTTAATATGGAGTTGAGAGTGATTTAATAAATTGGTAAGGTTATAACAAACCGTATTACTAGGTATTATTTCTTATTTATTTTTTGTTAAAAATTTATTTTCTGGAGTTAACAATAAACATTTGATTTATTTATAGGGCAGGCTTGAGTGACAATCTCCCTATCTCCCTAACTAATATTGATCAGTCTCCTTAATGGAAGTAACATGGACTGAATATGTTTCCATATGAGAAAGCACTTTCTGCTCTTCTCATTGGATGGTATTTTTGTCAACCTCCTTTTAAAAGTGACAATAGCAGCTCTCTATTCAAACCTAAAGACTTTTTTTATTTTTTTATATCTTATATATATACACACACACAAATAACTTCCAAGAGATAAGCTACAAAGTCTCAAGTCTCAACCAAACATACCCTACAAATTCATACTCCTTCTTCATCTTCTTCTCTTATCCTTTTTTTTCTTCTTCTTCATGTCTGATGAACATAAAAAACTTTACTACCAAGACCTTGTCCTAGATCATAATCAGCAAGCCGTTGGAGGATCTACCATGTACTGTGAAAAGCACTTTTCTTCCTTTCCTGGAGGTTCATTATCTGCTTATGATTCACAATCCTTTGATCCATCTTGTATGAGCTTCACTGAATGTTTACAAGGAGGCATGGACTACAATTCACTTGCAACTTCTTTTGGCTTGTCTCCTTCTTCATCAGAGGTATTTTCATCTATTGAAGGAAATCAAAAGCCAGCACTAGAAACTGGAGATGTAGGTGGTGGTGGTGGTGGTGGTAGTGAAACCCTTGCTACCCTTAACTCATCTATATCTTCCTCATCCTCTGAGGCTGGGGCTGAAGAAGATTCAGGAAAGAGTAAGAAAGATAGCCAGGTGAAAGGAGAAGAAGAAGGAGAAAGATCTAAGAAAAGGTAAGTTTCAAACCCATGATTTTTTATTTTTTATTTTTTTGACTTGGCTTAAATGGTGTAACTTACAATCTGTTTTGGATAAATCAACAGGAACAAGGATAAGAAGAAAAGAGAGAAAAAGGATAAGGAGCCAAGGTTTGCTTTCATGACTAAGAGTGAAGTTGATCACTTAGAAGATGGATATAGATGGAGAAAATATGGACAAAAAGCTGTCAAAAATAGCCCTTACCCAAGGTAAAACATGTTTTTTCTTGTTTCTTTGCACCCAAAAGAACATCCAGCACTTAATCAAGCTTAAAACTTTCTATTAGAACTAGATCATACTTATAGCTTCCACTAGCTCTCTTTGCTGCTTCTACTAGACCTAGATGTTAGTTTCATCAAAACTATCTTCATATTCAAATCTGTTTCTCACATGACTTACCACTTATTACACCCTAGTAAAAAATAAAAAAAAAAATGGAAAACCAGGTTCAAATCTCAAGCACAATGGCTTTCTTTAGAAATGAAAACACCCAAAAAATTGATATGAACATAAGACAAGTTTGATGATTTTAGTTGGCGATTGCAGGAGCTACTACAGGTGCACTACACAGAAGTGTACAGTGAAGAAACGCGTGGAGAGGTCATTTCAAGATCCAACCACTGTGATAACAACATATGAAGGTCAACACAATCATCCGGTCCCCACATCTCTTAGAGGGAATGCTGCAGTTGGAATGTTCACACCTATGTTGACAACAACACCGACTCCACTCTCAGCTGGATCAAACTTCCCACAAGATCTGTTTCTTCAGATGCATCCTCACCACAGTTTCATCATCAACAACAACAACAACAACATCCAATCTTCAAACACTAGTGCTAATTCTGGCTCTATTTATTCGCACAACAACATTAACAACTCTCTTCTTCAGCAGTATCATCATCAGCTTCCTCCTGAGTACGGCCTCCTTCAAGACATTGTCCCTTCCATGTTCCTTAACAAGAGCCACCACAATTGAGATGTACACTCTTACTCTATATATATATATAAAGACGAGGGTAAGGGCGGAGGCAATCCTTGCATGGTAGCCTTACCCTTGTATATTGGCAAAGAGACTATTTTCTGGATTCAAATCGGTGACATTTTAGTCACAAAGAAGTAGTTTTACCACTACTCCAAGCTCGCCCTCTATTATATATTATAGATCGATCTTTGGCCAAGTTTATATATGATCACTTTTGTACATATAGTTAATTTGCTGATAGTTACATTTAGTTATTGTGTTTCTGACTCATCACAGCCTCGCCTACTTCAAATGCTTTGTTTCGAAGTGGGTGGGAACTGTTTTAAGGAAAATCATAGGGTAAGGACTCAGCAGGCAGAGGTTATTACAAACTAGATCTCTTGTATGCATATCATGATCAGTTATATGCATTAATGCAGCCCATTTGGGATTTTCATCCTATGGAGAGTGTAACTTTGTTAATTTGATTGAAATATTACTTGATGGTTTGTTATCCCATTTTGTTTTCTTCTTAAATGCTTCTTGGCCTATTCAAGAGCTTGTACATATGTTGAACTATTTGCTCTATCTGACGATCGGTGATCAACCAGACACATTTCTAAACACACACATGTAAGTATGTGGAGGATTCATATGCATGCTTAAGGCACAAGTGCAAGTACAGAAAATAAAAATGAAATTCTCATGCAAGTGTTGAGTCTGAAATGCTAGTTATGGGAAGGTCTAATAATATAGTTCTCTAACGAAAGGAATTAGTCTCCCGTTCAGCCTTCCTGAATAATTAAAACAAAAAGGAAAAAAGAAAAAAAAAGAAAAAAAGAAAAGAAAAAGAAACCACTAGGCTTGAGTTAATGTTCACACTTGCCTAACCATATCTTTAATTGTCAAAGTAAAACAAAGCTGCTATAAGTTTTGCGACATGTTTGTTATCTTTTCCTCTTTTGGGGGTCGATAGAACATCTATTTATTCATGCTTTGCACTAGGCTACTTGCTATATGAAAGGTTAACTAGAAAATAGAAAAGTAAAATTGTCTAAATTTGGAGTCATGGCTTAGTTTTACTTTCACGTAAATATAATTGTATTCCATAATTGAGGGACCTAAACTTATTCGTTTGCATTATTATTTTATGGGTTTGATATTTGTCATTTTAAATGACATAAGTTATGTCATTTTAAGATAGAGATAGACACATGAAATAGAAATCATGGGAGAGAAAGTTGGTGATTTTTTTTAATTTAAATTTTTAATAAAAAAATAATTTCTTGTGTTTATCTCTCTCCTAAAATGATATAACTCTATGTCATTTAAAATTACAAACACTTTTCCCTTATTTTATTTTATATTAAAAAACTCTGAGAGATGAGATTTTATAATGGCCCGTTTTGTGAAATTTGTTTATCGATCAGAATGTTCTATATTGTGCAACGGTCTATTGGTTACTAGATATCACAATATAAGTTGAACTCACGGATTAACCCATCATAATTTGGCGGGTTAGGTTATAATTTTTAATATGTCAACCCAACACAACTTGCACGGCATATATGTTGGGCTTCCTCCTTCAATGATAAACTCAAGTCCATTGAGGAGTTTCCTAAAATCCTAAATCCTATATTTCACCTCCTCTATATAATCATTAGTTGTGGGAGGAGGTTATGTTAGAAAATTATTGAGAGACTCTTGAGGGATTTGTTAGTAAAGCTTTGAGCTTTGCATTTGAGAGCACCTCTAGAGAGAGTTTGAGTGAAATATCTCTAGGGAAGTTTGATTATCATCATTGTTGGAGAGGTTGAGTGAACCACCATTTTGGTGAAGGTTGATTCTTTATACCCATTATTATCATAGTGGACAGTTCCGGACCGACGTATTAACCATACTTACACTACTAAAAAACAGGTATTAGCGACGAAAAAATTCTGTCCCTATAAGACATAGATCTGTCCCTAACTAAATTAGGGACGGAATTTGAGACAGAAAACATTTCGTCCCTAAATAGCCTCTCGCTAATATTTTGGGATAGAACTTTAGTTACGTCCCTATTAAAGACGGATTAAAATCTATCCCTAATATTTATTTTCCGTCCCTAATATTGTCAACGATTTTGATTTGTGGAAGGCTATAATCTGTCCCTAATAGGGATGAAATTTGTCTTTCCCTAATTCCATCCATACTCTTAAAATTTCTTAATATATTTAATAAAATATTTTGAATTTTTTGTAACAAAATTAATATCTAATAATCGTCATAATATAAATCATCAAAGTCATATAACTAATTAAAGCCAGTCTCAAACTTATAATAATTATAACAATACTAACCATCATAGTTGTAACCAAATAACTCAAAGTTTTAATGCTTAAGACTTCATTTGAGAGTTAATTATACAGATTTTAGTCTTATAAAACATGATAAAATATCAGTTTATCAATCTCCCCTATTGGCGAGTGATTGAGATTTCATCTCTGAATTCTTCCCTATTAGATTTTTTTTTCGTCTCTAACCCATACTTTTCAAGTAGTCACTAGCGGGTTGAAATAACCACCCTTCAAATATTTCTCACCATATAAATCACATAATGTTACTTTTTTTAACACATCAATCTGGATGATCTTGCAAAAAGTTTATATTTTTGCAATTTCACAAACAATAACGCTTAAATACAAAATACAATCCCTAAATTCATCCCAATTAGGGATAAAAAAATTTCATCTCAAATAGGGACAGATTTTTTCGTTCTGTCCCTATTAAGGACAGATTTTGGGACGAATTTTAAAAATGATATACTAATTATATCCCAAGTTGGGACGAACAATATTTCGTCCGTATTAGAGATGGAATTAGGGACGAATTATAGAAATTGAAAATATTTCGTCCCTAGATCTGTCCCAAATAGGGACGGAATAATTTTCTATCTCAAAATCTGTCCCTACTGGTGACAGAACTTATTTCATTGCTAATTCCATCTCAAATAGGGACAGATTGTTTTTTCCGTCTCTAATTCCGTCCCAATTGGAGACGAAATATTTTTCATCTCTAAAATCCGTCCCTAATTCATACTTTTTTAGTAATGTTATGATATTAAGCTTAGTTATAATTACGATAATTGAATTAAAATATGGTAAAAAAATTTCTTTTATTACAAAATCATAACGTTTTCATTTTAAAAACAACCATATTCAAAACAATTCCCTTAACATGATTATAACCTAAAACATTTGCGGAATATAAATTCTACTGCTTAAATATCACACAAAGTACATACAAAGAATGCTAAGTGGTTCCTATAAACCAACGAAGTAACGATAAATTTTTACGCGACGTACCAACCTTATGTAGGTTCGGATTTGTGAAAACTGCACTTGACCTATTATAATTAAATTCTCATCTTCTACTATGTTAAACTAGAAATTATAAGCTTTCCAACGAGGTATCTTAAGCTTAATTCTGACTTCTACAACTCCAGATATCTTTACCGTAAGTTTACTGCTCAAAACCGTCAACATACGTCAACCTGCACTGCTTTACAGCGTTGCAAACTGCAGTAAGACCACTTGTCTGTTTTCTTTCAATTTTTAATATGTTATATTTGACATCTAGACCTTCAATTTGATATATTATAATCCCTGTTTCGATAAGAAACGAATGAGTTATGAATTTTCTAAGTTATAAACTCTTACCGTCAACTTCACTACAAATTGGGTAGCGAACAAAACAATAAAACTGCACCATGTTTTTACACTCCTTGCTGTCCCATATTTTAGGACATTAAAGTTCACATCTTAAGCTTCAAAATGACAGCTCACACATTCCGTTTGACAAAGAATTGAGTGAGATATGACTTACCAAAGTCATACACACAACACTTACATTCCCTTATGAATTTTGACAGCATCTCCACTATTTTTCCAACTTATAGGACTTTCCCAACTTCTCTTATCAATAATACCTGATTAACACAATATTAATTCCATTCATATCACATCAAAAGATGGCTTCGTGCCATTTTCTTTAAACTACCAAACCACATTTACATATGTCCGCTAATCTTTACAAAACATTTACATAGGCAATGTAGGCCTCTCAAAACTGTTTCTACTAGTTATCACATCAAAAGCTATCTACAGAGATCTCACAAAGCATATATCCAAGCAACTAGCAACTCCAAACATAACTTTAATCTTCTTCCACTGCTCTTTTACCCTTATCTTTATCTTTCTCACTGGAAGTACCTGAAATATATCCCCATAACGCGGGATGAGATAAACTCAATAAGCTCGGGGTTTATGGAGAAGTATCCACCTAAGAGTTCACTTCATGTATTACATGTTAATTTCCAAACACTTACAGACATCATATATTCTTAAATAATACAATTAAGTATTTTAAATTCATTCTTACTTTTACTTAATACATGTAATCTTACAAATTATAATTCCTTCACAACAAAACTTTCACAACATATTCTTCATAACTTTATTCTAGCAGTTATATTAAACTAGAATTCACCTTTTTTATACGGACATACCTTACTTCAGAAATCAAAAACTTATATCAAAGCTTATCAAAACATATCAGAACTTATCAAAACATATCAAAACTTATAAAAACTTATCAGAACATATCATGATCAACTGAAAATCATATACTTTCATAATCATATTTATTCTCAGAATTCCACCAGAGCTATCCTTTTTACGGAAAATCTCCACTTGTATGACCAATTTATTAAATGACCTAGTACTGGAATTCTCACATACATATAGTATATATATTTATCACAACACTCTTATTTCGAACCATAATCCTTTATATCAGTGTACCATAACTATAAAAGATTAAGAATGAAGAGAACGAGCAGAAGCCGAGATACAAAGCCCAGATTGTAGTAAAATGCTGCAATCAGAAGAAAAGAGTAGACTTTGAGGAGATTTTTTCTCCTGCGGTGAAAATGACCTCGGTCCGAACCGTGCTAGCCATGGCAGCTTCGATGGACCTCGAGGTAGAACAAAAGGATGTGAAGACGGCATTCCTTCATGGAGATCTTGAAGAAGAGATATATATGGAGCAACCTGAAGGGTTCCGAGCTCCAGAACAAGAAGAATTGGTATACTGGTTGAAGAAGAGTCTATACGGTTTGAAGCAAGCACCTTGGCAGTGGTACAAGAAGTTTGAATCCTTCATGACTGATCACAAGTTTGTGAAGACAAAGGTCGACCACTGCGTATTTGTAAAGAGGTATGAGGCCAGAGATTTTCTGATTTTGCTGTTATATGTTGGCGACATGCTTATTGTAGTGAAAGACAAATCGAGGATAGTCGCCTTGAAGAAGGTGTTGAGCTCGTCCTTCGCAAT